TATTATTAGTTCTTTGCTCATTATTTGAATGTAGATATTGTTTTGTATTTGCAAAAACTATTATTAGTTCTTTGCTCATTTGTCAAATGAGCAAACTATTCAATGCTCATTTGTTAAATTATTCTTGCTCATTTGACAAATGAGCAAAAAATAAATACTGAACTAATTTAAGTCTCTTTTTGGATACTAAATAACATAAAATCTTTTGATAAAGTATTTGAAATATAGAACTAATTTAAGAAATTTGCCTATTATAGTTATCTTCAAGGCATAATCATGTCATGGTTGTTTGTTTGCACTTTGTAGTGTATTGTCTTGTGTTTGCTCATTTGTCAAATGAGCAATTAATTTTTTCTCATTTGTCAAATGAGCAATTAATTTTTTGCTCATTTGCCAAATGAGCAGTTAATTTTTTGCTCATTTGTCAAATGAGCAAAACCTTCACTGCTCATTTGTCAAAAAAAATTCAATTTACTCATTTTATATGACTTTTCTCATTTCATATTCACTTTGCTCATTTCTTATTTACACTTTTCATTTATATTCATCTTATTTATGTATTTTTCTTTATGTATTTTTTTAGGATTGCCTTTTTCAATACGAAAGTGACTGTGCTCAAGAAAGGAATAAAATGTTTTGTGAGGTTGTGGAGTTGGAATTCAGCAAAACAATCATCCCAAAGAAAGATATTGAGCTTTTCTTTTTCCCAGTATTTGAAAAAGATCATTATTATTTGGTATGTTTTAACACCACCACAAAGCGTGGTACAATTAATGTTATTGATTACAGTGAAGGTCCTAGAGAAAATAAGAAATTTCTTAAATCTGGTATGGCTCAAGATTTTGTTAGATTATTTTAGAAAAATGATTAGAGTTTAGTTGTTTATCTTGATCTTGTTCTACTTGTTCTGACTATATTTGTTCTACCTGTTTTTGTTCTTATTTTAACTTATTTGTTCATTTTCAGAATTGTGCATTTTCATATTTCAAGGATGGTGAAGGAAGTATACAAAGTGTTGTTTTGTCAAAACAAATCAAGTCTATGGAGTCTGTACTGATTGATTTACTCTGGAAGTCTTCAGATGATGATCATTTGCATTGTGGTGTTGCAATGACGAGGCATATGGAAACATATATGGGTTTGCAAAAGTGGAATTCAGGTTTAAAGAAAAATAATGTAAGTCTTTCGCATTTCATGCTTGTTGCAACTGAGTATTAAATGTGGCTATGTTCCTCTCATATGAGTATTAAATGTGGCTATGTTCCTCTCATATAAGTATTATAAATGTGGCTATGATCTAAAAGTAGCCTTGAGCTCTATTGTGATTTTTCTATATGCATCCCAATAAGACATACCAACAGTATTGAATTCCAGGCAGCTATTGCCAGTATATCAGCACAGAACAAAACTCCCACTGCACTGTTTATCCATTTTTATTTTAAATGCAATTTAGGTTAAAATTTGTGATCAGCTTGTTGATATTCATGCATGAAGCCATTACTTACCCTATACTTACCCTAAATTATTGCTTCCTTTTTTCTCTTTACAGGCCATAATCATTGAAAAACTTCGTTTGAAGTTTACCTTCTCAATTATTTCAAGTGAAGTAAATACTGTTAAACTTGTTAAACAATTGCCCAAAAGAAAAAAAAAAGGTTGAGGAACCAAGTGATACTAAAGAAAGTTAGGGGCAGCAATCCAAAAGAATTCAACGGAGAGAATTGAAGACTGAAGTTGATCAATTGTTATGATGTTCTTAGGATTTGTATAGAACAATAGAAGTGTTAGTTTTATGATGTTCTTAATGGGACAAATGTGACAAATCTTCTTAGTTTATCAAATGTTTTTATGATGTTGTTAGGACTTTCTAAGTATAACTTTTGCTATGTCAATGTAATGGATATCATTTTCTAAAAGTTGATCTTATTAACTAAGCTGTTGGTCATTTGTTAAATTACTAATTAACTATTTGCTCATTTGACAAATGAGCAACTAACTATTTGCTTATTTTTTAAATGAGCAAAAAATTAATTGTTCATTTGCCAAACAGAGTTAGTATGTAATTGTTCATTTCCCAAATGACCAAATAAATATTTGCTCAATTGACAAATGAGCAACTAACTATTTGCTCATTTGCTAAATGAGCAAAGAAATGTTTCCTTATATTTCAAATGAGTAACTAATTATTTGCTCATTTGAAAAATGAGCAAACTAATGCTTACTCATTTCATAAAGAGCAAAGAAATGGTTGTTTATTTAATGTATGATTGAAGAAATGTTTGCTCATTTGACAAATGAGTAATTAACTATTTGCTCATTTCAACAAAATTAAAAACACAAAATGCTAAATCTTATATTTATATTAAAATATTAAATTGTATATTTGTATAAAAGTATCATTACACTTTGTTTGGACAATTTCTAATATCATGATGACTTAATTCACCACTACCTCTACATAATCTCTTCTTTTTCTGGTTTTGTTCTACAGCCTTTTCTTTTTCTCCCTTCGGCCTTTTTGCACTTCTACCTCTTGTTTCAACATTTGGCACATCAATCTCAGCCCCTTTCTCTTTTGAAGTCTCTTCATTTGATACATGACCTCTAGTCCCTTTATTCTTTGAAATTTTTGAAGGTTTGACAATTATTTCAGTTGGCACACTAGCTCCAATCAATAGTTCAATGTCTTGTCCTTTGTCGTTTGCACTTCCAGCTGTTGTTTCATTATTTCTTGGAATCCTCTTAGCCTCCAAATCCTTTCTTATTCCTTGAATCAAAAGGTCTTGAATATCTTCATCATTGCCTTCTGCCAAACTTACACAAGTGTGTATCTCTGACCATACATCATTTAACAATTTTTTCTTGTCAATTAAATTAGCACATTGCTCCAACAGGTTTCCACCCAAGTCAAAACTTGGTTTTTTCAGTGCCATAGTAGTCCATCTGTGTAGCATATACTGCTCAGGAATGGTTTCAAACCTTTTTGCTTTCCAAACCCGAATCATATGTCTACATGGAATTCCTTGTCTATAAAATAGCTTGCAAAAACATGTGGTGTAGTTAGTTGGATTAACCACAACATCAAATGTTCTAATCCGATTTCGTTCACTTACTTTTGCAACTTCCAATCCATTTTCTTTCTTCAATTCATCAACACCACAAGAAAAACAAGCAATTTCAACCTCATATTGAAATTCATAAAAGACAGAGTTAGTATATAAATGTGAGGCATGCTTTTCTATCCCTAGTGGTGTTTTGCACTCAGGATATTTGTGCTTTGAATCATTATCATTCTGACCTTGAGTGTGTCTCTGGGCATCAATTGCAGCTTCATATCTCAAGTAAAACTCAACAAGTGACACATGAGGATTGATAAAGGAGTAGAAAAAGTTATTTTCACTTTCAGATCTTGATGTTGTACGCATTATTCCTCCAAGGAACACATCTCTGAAATACGCCGGAATCCACTTATCCCTTATCTTGTACATATAACCTAACCACTCATGATCTTCCAAGTGGTATTCAACCATCACCTTGTTCCATTTTTCTTCAAACTCAGCGGGTTCAATTTCAAGATGCCAAACGCAAGCACATATGTTTTTTTAGGAAACCAGTTTCTTCTTGCATGATTGATTTCTCCACCTTATCTGGTAACTTTTTCATTATGTGCCACATACAGAACTGATGTTCAGTCTTCTTAAACACACTTTTAACACCTATTTTCATTGCTGGATCCTGATTCGTGATGATCATACAATTAGGTTCGTTCCCCCCCCCCCCCACTGCCTTGAGAAATGATCTGAACAACCACTCAAATGACACAATATCTTCCTTTGCTATGAAACCAGCAGCAAAAGTAATGCAACTATTATGATGGTCAACCCCTGTAAATGGAGTAAACACCATGTTGTACCTGTTTACAGATACAGATTAAATTTTAAATGACCAAATAAGTCAATGCTCATTTGACAAATGATCAAATAATTTACTGCTCATTTGTCAAATGAGCAAATAACTCGATGCTCATTTCTGAAATAAGCAAACAATTCTTTGCTCTTTTTTCAAATAAGCAAATAGTTTAATGCTCATTTTGTCAAATGAGCAAATAACTCATTGCTCATTTGTGAAATAAGCAAACAATTCTTTGCTCATTTGTCAAATGAGCAAATAATTCAGTGCTCATTTGTTAAATGAACATGCAATTCAATGCCCACATACAAACTCTTATTACAGAATATTAGACTTAAGGCGATATTCACTTTTCACATTGAAATTAGCAAACAATTTGATGAAGTTATTAAGTTAAGCCATGGTTATAACATAAAAATGAATTGTGATTATTATGTATTACCTGTTGGTTTGGTATATGGTATCAAAGGATACCATATCACCAAATAGAGCATAACTCTTTTTACAAAGGGGGTCTACCCACAATGCTCTACAAAGGCAATAATCTTCATCCATCTCAAAATCAAAGAAAAAAGCGTTCCACATTAGCTTTTTGTTGGTAAAGTTATCCGCAAACATTTGAGCATCACTTCCTTGAATGTAACTTTTAAATCTCTATGAAATTTTTTGAAATCTTGCTTAGATGCACCAATGTTATCATAACCTCCAACAATTTCCTTCATCATTCGAAAAGTTGTAACGGGACCAATATTCACCTATTTAAAGAACAAAACAGATTGTCAAATGAACAAATAATTCAATGCTCAACAATTTAATGCTCCTTTTTAAAATGAGGAAACAATTTAATGGTCATTTTTCAAATGAAAAAACAATCAATACTACATTTTTGACCAAATGTAACGGCATAATAAAGGCTAATACAACGGTATTTTAATTGTCGTTGCAATAGAGTAGGCTATTGCCACGGATTTAACACTAATGTTCTTAAAGGTAGAGCTATTGCCACGGCTCTAAAGAACCGTTGCATTAGCCTAGCTTTTTTAACAAAAAAGGGAGCTATTGCCACGGTAGTGTATCGTATGATGAAAAATTTGTAAACGCGAGGAGTACTTCCCTCTATTTTTTTTCCCCAAAATTTTTGAACAACATATTCCCCAATTTTCACTCTGTACTTCCCATTTTCTCTATTTTCCCCAATTCTCCATTTTCTCACATTCTCATATTTTCCCCAATTCTCCATAATTACTTCCGTTTTCCCCAATTCCGTCATAGAGGAAGAAAGCAAACAAGACAATGTTTTCACCGTCAATGTTTTCGCTCCTTTTTCACCGTCAATGTTTTTGCTCTCCATAGCCCAGCTTCCTCGAGTACTCGGAGCTGCTGTCTACGGTTGATGGTTTTCACTCTGTACTTCCCATTTTCTCTATTTTCCCCAATTCTCCATTTTCTCACATTATCATATTTTCCCCAATTCTCCATAATTACTTCCGTTTTCCCCAATTCCGTCATAGAGGAAGAAAGCAAACAAGACAATGTTTTCACCGTCAATGTTTTCGCTCCTTTTTCACCGTCAATATTTTTGCTCTCCATAGCCCAGCTTCCTCGAGTACTCGGAGCTGCTGTCTACGGTTGATGGAGTTATTATTGCTGCTGCCGAAGATTTAAACTGAAGAAAAGAGGAGAGAGAAATTTGCAAATCCAGTAACAATGGATCCCAAATTCACTGAGATTTCCCAGAGCTTCGAACGTTTCAAAGCTACTTCTATTCGCAATGATTTTGACACCTCCACTCGTCTCCTTTCTCAGCTTAAGGTTTATTTCCTCTCCAATTTAAACCTTAGATCCTTAATTTTCTTCATTGTTTGTGAATTCATATAATTACTATGTTTACTTTAATTGACGAGATTTTGTGGAAATTTTGCTCAAATTGCTACTTGTTTGCTCCATTTTTTCGTGTTTTTAGGGTTTTATTATGTTTTTATGCGACATTAATGGTAGCTTTGGGGTTAATTTTGCTGTAAGTATGGTTTGTAGATTGAAATTAGTTGGAGTAAATCCGAGTGTTTTGGGTGGTTATGGGAACCAGGGTGGATTGCAAAGCGCGTATCCAAATCAGTAGCTGGGGTAAGGAGGGGCTGGTGGGAGGTCGCAGCATGGCCATATGGGTGGTGTTGCACCGTATGGAGGCCATTGAGTTACTCTTAAATAGTCACAGGTATACCATCTCCTTTAAACTTTAAACTTCTAGTTTCTATGAGATCTTGAAATCTTGAATTATTCTTGGGTTTTGCATTCAATTACGTGATGTCAAGATTTGTTTTGAATAGTTTTAGCACTCTAGGTAGCCAATTGCTTGTGAATTTTAACTCAGAGTAGTATCCATTAGTTTCATTGGTATTTGATACATTTCAATTTATCCTCAAGTTTTTGCATTATATTTTGCTGTGATCATAATTAACATTGAGTTAGCCCTTGTTAGACATACCTCTGTTCCTCAAACTTTATGGAATGTAGTTTGTGTACCCTTATGCAGCATTGTTTGTCTACATCTTTTTGAACAATCATTGTTGTTGTTTGCTTCTATTTGAAGAGGTTACGGCATATATGTGTAGTGTCTGTATTCTTTAGTTTGAAGTAGTTGGTTTAATAGCAAATTTAGCAAACAGCTCATACACCGACCTCTTCGGCGACCCAATCTACGATTTAACCCCTTTATGGTTCAAGAACGACCTCTTTCGACTCCGAATCCTACATCTTTAACCTCCAAACCCTGTCCTCTCTCGCTGCACTCAATTAATCTCAAGTTACTAGTATGTATTTTGAAATAATTAAATTTATTCTAGTATAATTTGTTGAAAATGGCTCTATTTAATTGTTAAATGCTATAATTTCTCAAAAATTGTGCTACTATTTGTTTAATCAGGGTTTTCGTAAGTAATTGCTTCACTAATTCTAATGTCATCAATTTTGTTAAATTAATTTTGCATTTTTGCTGGTTTGATTGAGAGAAAGAGAATGATTAACGTGAGCAATCTTCTTGATACTTTTCCTGATCTACAGTCTTACCGTAGTACTACATTTTTTTTTATCTTATATATGGTTTCCTTGCGTTTTTGTTTAAATTTTTGTGTTTTTTATTTTTCCTGATTCTGCTCAAAAAATTTTATTCTTCATTATTCAATTGATCTAAATGTATTGGCTGACGAGATCATTGAATTGTTTGTGAGCTAATTGTAGCCCACTATCCCATTATTGAGTCTTCAGAATGGTGCATGAGCAGTTGGTATGCTGGAATCTACAGGTTCTGCTTTTTGGCTAATACCTTGTAGTTTTCTTCGTAGTATCCTTTTTATCTTTAGTTGTTTAGTGTATGTTTGGCTTTAGGCTATACTAGTTATATGGCTTTCTTTTTGGTGAATGTTTTATTTCACAGCATGCATATTCTCTTATGATTATCGATCTTCCACTGCTCTCCTTCTTAACAATTCCCTCTTTAAAAAAAATGAAATAGAGGGTCGTAATTGATTGAAAACCAAACCCGATTTCCTCAGCTTTTTGTAATTCCTCTTTTTTCACCCTTTGATTGGATAACGAAGAGCCAATGATAGATTGATAGTAGTCTTAGTAGATTCTTAATTTTTCTCTTCAATGGGAATTAAGGCAACGACACTTGGGCGCTATCAATGTCTCATGCTTTGGTGTGTCAACCGGATTTATGGAAGTTGTTCACTAGGACAGTTATGTATCATACTATAGCATTTCTGCTTAACTTACTTTGCCTATTGAAAATGTAGAATAACATGCTCAGAAATACAGCAAGGTTTAGTAGATTTGATCAGTTTAACAAACTTAAACCTTTGTCTTTAACCTTTTATTTACTCTAGACTTTATAAGCTCTAAGTTTTTCAATGTCAAAGGCTAAGAAACCTGGTGAAGCAGTACAGAATATAGCCACCCAACTCGATCAAGGTCTTCTTAGAATTTTTTTTTTCCAATCAAACAGGTGTAAAGTTAGATAAGCCAGCTGAGGGAACCATGCCAGAGGGTGAGACCCTGAGACCACAGAAGTTACTGGTGTCTAAACAAAAATTTCTTTGTTATGGTTCATGTTCTAGTTTAAAAGATGTTGTTTAGCAAACTCTCTATGATGAGATTGAGTTGCAGTTTTGTAGTGGTTAATCTGGTCATCTTCTTTTTATTTAAAAGAGTTGTAACGGGGATTTTGCTGAATAATTGTTTTGGATTTCCTGTGTTTCATACTGATGATTATTGGTGTCTCACTATCTTCAAAATTAACATTGTTGCTTTTTTTTCCTATGTCTATTTTTATTGATAACTCCTACAGACATTTGCATCAGGAATGGTGTTAGTATCCAAAATAAGCAAATTCTTCTTTCCCTGCTTTGTTGCTCTCTATGCTCAGTTTACAATTTACTATAAATCATTCAATTCATCAAAGAAATTCATATTGTGTGAGACTAATCATAATTAGTTTATATTATTTATACTCTGTGTTAGTTTAGTCTGTACTAAGTATAGTATGTCAAGGCTCACCTATGGTTAGATACACAACTTTTTTTTTTATCTTAAATAAGGAATGAAATGCTACGATTGTTAAGCCTTTTATCAGGCTGTTTCTGGTCTTATTTGGCGTCGATTGTATAAGTATATGTCTAATTTTTTGATATCGTTTATATATTGAGTTATTAAAGATTGAAGATGGACTTTTTCCTTGTCTATGAGCTTACTACTATGTCATTAGTATTGAGTGCAATATCTTGTAAATACTATGCATGTTTAACTTTGAACTTTCATCTTTCCTTTTTGTTTAAATTTGACATTCTTAGATTCGTTACTCATACTCTGTGATAGCGAAGGATTCTTGTACACGAATAAACATTTGGAACTTCGAGTTTATTCTCATTAACCTTGATACAACTGCTTACTTGTATGTTATGGGCTTTTGAAAAATATCCCTATGTATTGCACACCTCTCATGCATAGACTGCAATGTAGTTCTTAGAGAATAGTGAAAATGCTTAAAGTTGCTTGTTATTACATTTTCACATGTAGTTTTAGGGTATGAGGCACATGAAAGGTTTTTGATCTTGACTTTATTGTTTGTTGTAGCCACTACATCCTCGGGTATTTTTTACTTCTTTTTTTTTCTCCTTGAATTATATATGAGAAAAGAGGAATGATGGATGTTTATCTTCTTTTTTTATTCTGAATTCTTGAAATTGGATTGTGTTTTTATAAGGTTTTTAAGTTTATTTAATATATGTAGGTTGTAGGCCTGCTGGCTTCTGTTGTTCTGTGTTGCTATCTGTGAGCTGCTGGCTGCTGTTTATGCTATTGGCAGTCCTGCGAGCTGCTTGCTGGTCTCTGTTTGGTTGCCTGTGGGGCTGTTGGGTGCAGGCTGCTGTCATGTAGGTTCTCTGCTGGTTCAGGCGTTTGGGCTGCTTGGTTGTTGTTGTAGTTTTTTCTACCTGTCTCTGCTGTTCTGAGTTGTTGCAGGGTTGAAGAAGGCATCCTGGTTTAAACTTGCTTTTCCCTGTTTGCTTCTGGTTTGTTGCCTAGTTTTCGTTGCTGTCTTGTTCTGGTTTTGGCTGGTTACTGCTGCTACTGTTCCTTTTACTGTTGTTGTTCTTTTTCTGCTGTTATGCACTGTCATCTGTTGTGCTGCTTTCTACCTGGTGCTTTGCATGCCTGGTTCTGGCTGCTGCTGCAGTTCTGCTGAGCTTGTTGCTGTTGGGACAGCTTGTTGTTGTTCTACTGCTGCTGTTCAGCTGCTGATGTTGGTCGCTTGCCTCTCAAAGGTTGTAGTCGTTGTAGTTTTCTCAATTAATTTAATTAGTGAAATTTGATTTTGTAACTTTTCCCTTTAAGAGCAATAATGTACAAACCTTCAATTTATATTAATGAAATTCCAATTTAATCGTCTTTATTATTATTATTATTATTATTATTATTATTATTATTATTATTATTATTATTATTATTATTGTTATTATTAGTGTTATTACTATTGTTTTTATTATTGTTATTATTGCTACTATTGTTATTATTATTATTGTTATTATTATTATTATTATTATTATAAATATTATTATTATTATTATTATAATAATAAAATAACAAAAACCTACAATGTCAAAAGATTTACAAGAAATTAGTGGGGAGCCGAGATACAATCTGGGCCCCCACCCCTCTAGCTATAGCGAACCCAATCCTATTAAAGATGTGAGCAGCCGCACGAGCTCCAATATCCTGAATCCTAGCGAACGCCTGAACCAGATTCAGCAACGCAACGGCATCCTTCTCTAATTCCCCCAATGAAGGAAAGAAGAAAGGAAGAAAACCATAGCCAATAGCCCTGCAACGCGCCCCATACTTGTCTCGTTTCCGCTGAGCCGCAGCCGACACAACACGACCAGGAACGAAGTCAGACAACCCAGATTGAGTCAATGGAGAAGACCCCGTCAAGTCAATACATACATCTATGCCTCTATCCCAGGAGTAAAGCAACACATCTGCTGGCCGAAAAGCCCTGTCGTTCCCTCCAGCCAACACAACGTTGACCTCCTTCCTTGTAGAAATCCCAGAGCGCAAACAAATATCAACAAGGGTATCACGAACAACGTTATGCCGATGTTTAATACCCACCATCCCAGCACAAGACACTGCATGATCCCCATAAATTTCCCCATCAAAAACTTTTGAGCAAGCAGAACAAGGTGCCGATACGGAGAACAAGGGAACACCCAACCGGTAGCAAAGAACACAACGGTAAGTCTTACCATTCATAGTCTGACCCAGACCTGATATCGGGACCCCTTGCAACTAGGCAGAAGAGTAATCCCCCTGCTGGGACATCCATAAGGCAACCTGACGCGGAGACAAGGAGAAAGTGGATTCTGCAGATGCAGTGACCTTCGTGAAATATATATCTGCAATTTCTTCATGAGTTTGGGGGCAGCGATCTCACTAGGGTTACGCAAAAGATCAGTCTCCACAGTCCTATTAAAAAGACTAAGAGCGTCGTCGAAGGCCGGACCTGGACCAACAATACCAGAATTGCGAAGAAGCGAAGCCTGTAGACTAGAAGACTACAAACGCGACGCAAGGAAAGCATAGTGTCGAACATCACCCGCTGAATAGACACCAAGTCCTCCATAAGAAAACGGTAAGGTGGCAAGTCGCCATTGCCAATCACCAAAACCTGGCCCCGAAGCAGTTACAATGCGCTCCACAGAACCTCGAAGGGCCACATCAAAAGAAATCTGGGCCGCTTCAAAAAGACGAGGAGGACAAGTGCTCATAGAAAAGTAGAGTTTTGAAACTCCAGTACACGCACGAAGTAGTAACAACTCACATTGGGGATCCTCAAGCTTAGCAACAGCATCCATGAGCACAATGGTCTTCGGCACCCTCTGTGAAACAAGCTCACCACAGAAAGAGGCATCCACACTGACAGGACCCCCAAGCAACTTAACACCATGAGCAGGACGAGCAATATCTGGAGGAAAGACACCGGCCAGACGACTACGAGGGTCCTCCGTAGGACAGAAAACTTCTGTTTTCTCAACGTTAACATGGAGGCCGAGACGATGTCCCTCCACCAAAATCAACTCCATAACCTTCCCTACCACCAAGGTGTCACCAATAATAGTGCCATCATCCAAATACCAAGCCTGCAAACATAAGTCGAAAGAATCCCTAATTCGACAAACCAACGGATGGAGCACCAAAGCAAAAAGCAAAGGGCCAAGTGGATCACCATGCTGCACACCCTGACATGACCTTAAGGTATGCTCCCCATAATAGAGACTGGCTGGAGTAGAGTAACAGAATTCAACCCAACGCGAAAGAGCTGGACAACGGAGACGAACCTCACGCAGTAAAGCCGTACGATCAACCAAATTAAAGGCATTCCGGAAATCCACCAGCAACATAGAGAGGCCAACATCACCACCTCGAGCCTCAGCCAAACGATTAACAGCATGAAGAATAGCCTCGCCACCCGCCGGCACCCCAACACCAAACTGAAGACCTCCTAAATAGTTCCCCATACGCGGACCAACTAAAGCAGCCCTAACCTTTGAAACCAGACGCCGCCAAACAGTACCCACAACACTAGGACGAATACCACCACCGGGCTTAACAAGTTGCGTGAGAGGAGCACTAGCAATATACTCCCCCAACTCAGCAGGACAATTTCCTGCAAGAAAGAGATTAACCACCTGCATAATAGAGCCCACCAACTCATCTGAAATAGCAACTGCAGCACCACTCAAGCAATCCAGAAGGTGCTGAGCACGCAAGCCGTCTCTACCGCATGACGTACCACGCGGAAAACCCCTTATTTGATCCAAAACAACAGCAGATGTAGCAATAAGGGGCTGATCAACGGGGATATTCGGTAAAATAGGAGCAAGAAAGGAAGGGTGCTTAGCTTGTAAATCAGCAAGAGTAGCATCATTGTAAGGGGCAAGACCAGAAGACAAAAGAACCCTAACCGCAGCAGTGTAATGTCCGTCACAAATCTTTCTCTTACATTGCTTAATATTTTGCTCAGACAAATCATGCTCATCATCAGCTTCCAACAAAGGAGGAGACACATCTGCCAACGTATCTCGCACAAGATGCATAGAACCACCAGGCTCACACCAAGAATGAATAGCAGCGGTGATACTCTCTTCCTGCCGCCGCCGCCTGACACCCGAAGAACACTCACGACTACTCCTCGGGGTAAAGGTTTTAATAACACAAAGAGGCAACACAAGTAGTTGAACCCAACAAGAGACGTCATCAGGCTTGCAAATCACCTTATCAAGCGCTCCTTTGAGAACCCGAGAAAAACCCAAGCGACACTTTGGAGGAATAGATTTCACTTAACGGAACCGCTTAGATAGCAAACTATCTAGGAGAGCAACATCGAATGCCAAAAGAGGCTGACGAGGCGCACTAGAAACAAGATCAGATACCTCTGAAGAAAGACCCTGAGGTTTAGGAAAACCATAAAGAACAAACCGAACAACACCATCCCCCAAATCAGGTGGGTCCACAATATCATCTGAACCACGACCATGTCGACACTTCGTACGAAAAGTATGAGTCTTGAAACACTCCCCACAAAGCTAAATGCCCATACGCCGAAATCCACCTCTAAGAAAATAGTCAAATTAGAAGCAAGAGACCATCGGGTCATATCCCGCGCATCCGCACAACAATGACGGTCACGGAGATGAGTGATCAAAGAAGTTTTAGTGAGCCCATTACCCCTGCCATCTTGACACCCATTAAGACCCACGAACGGGAAATGAAAGAGAACACTAGGAGGCATAACATCCACCACAACTTGCCACAAGAGAACCGCAATACAACCACAATATTATTATTATTATTGTTATTATTATTATTATTATTATTATTATTATTATTATTATTATTTTTTTTTATTATAATAATAATAAAAAACACCTACAAAGTCAAACGATTTACAAGAAATTAGTGGGGAGCTGAGATACAATCTGGGCCCCCACCCTTCTAGCTATAGCGAACCCAATCCTGTTAAAGATGTGAGTAGCCGCACGAGCACCAATATCCTGAGTCCTAGCGAACGCCTGAACCCGCTTCAGCAATGCAACAAGATCTTTCTCTAATTCCCCCAATGAAGAAAAAGAGAAAGGGAGAAACCATAGCCAATAACCCTGCAACGCACCCCATACTTGTCTCGTTTCCGCTGAGCCGTAGCCGCCACAACACGACCAGGAACGAAGTTAGACAACCCAGATTGAGTCAATGTAGAAGACCCCGTCAAGTCAACACATACATCTAGGCCTCTATCCCAGGAGTAAAGAAACACATCTAATGGCCGAAGAGCCCCTTCGTTCCCTCCAGTCAACCCAACGTTGACCTCCTTCCTTGTAGAAATCCCAGAGCGGAAACAAATATCAACAAGTGTATCAGGAACAACGTTGTGCCGATGTTTATTACCCACCATCCCAGCACAAGACACTTCATGATCCCTATAAATATCCCCAGCAAAAACCCTTGAGCAAGCAGAACAAGGTGCCGAGACAGAGAACAAGGGAATACCCAAGCGGTAGCAAAGAACACACCGGTAAGTCTTACCATTCATAATCTGACCAAGACCTGATATCGGGACCGCACGCAACCAGGCAGAAGTGTGATCCCCCTGCTGGGACTTCCGTAAGGAAACCTGACGCCGAGATAAGGAGAAAAAGGATTCTGCAGAAGCAGTGACCTTCGTAAAATATATATCTGCCATTTTCTTCATGAGTTTGGGGGCAGGGATCTCACTAGGGTTACGCAAAAGTTCAGTCTCCACAGTCCTATTAAAAAGACAAGGAGCGTCGTCGAAGGCCGGACCTGGACCAACAATACCATAATTGCGAAGAAGCGAAGCCTGAAGACCAGAAGACTGTAAACACGACCCAAGGAAAGCATAGTGTCGAACATCACCCGTTGAATAAACACCCAATCCCCCATAAGAGAAAGGTAAGGTGGCAAGTCGCCATTGCCAATCACCAAAACCTGGCCCCGAAGCAGTTACAATGCGCTCCACAGAACCTCGAAGGACAAGTGCGCATAGAAAAGTGGAGTTTTGAAACTCCAGTACACGCACGAAGTAGTAACAAATCACATTGGGGATCCTCAAGCTTAGCAACAGCATCCATGAGCACAATGGTCTTCGACACTCTCTGCGAAACAAGCTCACCACAGAAAGAGGCATCCGCACTGACAGGACCCCCAAGCAGCTTAACACCATGAGCAGGACGAGCAATATCCGGAGGAAAGACACCGGCCAGACGGCTACGAGGGTTCTCCGAGGGCCAGAAAACTTTCATTTTCTCAATGTTCACATGGAGGCCGAGACGAGGTCCCTCCACCAAAATCAACTCGATAACCTTTCCTAC